TGAAGATAAACGGAGAAGACACCAGTGTTATTAGTCCTACTCTTGGATTCAATATCAAAACAATCTCTTATCAAAAGTAAGCAGCGAAGTCAGATCTTTCTTTCGTTTATTCCTCTTTCTTTGTGTGTATGTTGCTCTCGCTATTGTTAGAAATGGGTAGTAATGATTCTGTGTATTTGCTATTGTTTTGGACTGCCAAGTTGACACGAACCCATTTCAGATACAAGTGAAATATGAGAACTAGAGATCTTAACTGGCCCTTTTTTTATATGAATTTGTCAAAGAGTGATAAAATAAAGACAAACTGGAGATGTTTTAGTTTAGCATTGATTGATCAGAAATATCATTACTATAGTTCAACAGTTTCTCTTGCGACATTATGTATACTGACGATGTTGTATTGTCTGCTGAGCTTCCCAAGATTGGAATTTTAAATCTTAGAATGTTTGTTGTAATACGGAAGGTTGAAATGCTATATTTTTGTTTGATAGGTACACTTTAAATATATGGGATGTGGGGGGACAAAGAACCATTAGATCATACTGGAGGAACTACTTTGAGCAAACTGATGGCTTGGTCTGGGTGGTGGATAGTTCAGATCTTAGAAGGTTGGATGATTGCAAAATGGAGCTCGATAATCTTTTGAAGGAGGAGGTATTTGCCAGTTCTAAGTTTCTTTGATGTTATGTTTTGTTTGAAAACAATGGCCTTTATTTGTTTTTCTATTAATGTAATGTGTTTCTCATGTCTTGCTCCTGTTCTTTTTTTTAACTCTTTTGTTCATTTGTTTTTTTTCTTTCCTTATTCATCTGCTCTTTTCTTGTGAATCCTCTAATTTGCTTGTTTATCTGTCAGAGGCTATCAGGAGCATCTCTACTAATATTTGCAAATAAGCAAGACATAAAAGGTGCTCTTACACCGGAGGAAATTGCTAAAGTAAGGTTTCTCACCGACCATATCTCCTTGTTTATGAGTCATCGTTGTTTTTTGTTCATATACAAAGCATTTGGTGTCCTTTTCCCTTGTGTATTTGTGCTTTTCTCAGTGCTGAAAGAAGTCATATGTCATCAATGTCGTGTATTTCATACTGAACAATTGAAATGGACTCTTTTGTTTCAAAGCTGATTTAACTTTAGCACACAGTTGGCTGATGATATAAACATGGTTGTAGAGGTTACTGTAAAATCTCCCATGTGCCTTCCTTCCCAGACTTGTCTCTTGGTGGTTGAATGCGGGACATTTAGCTGGGGTTCCTCATAATATGATTTCCATGCTGTTTGAAACTCAATTACTTTCTGGTCAGCTTTGCTTGCAAAAAATGCCCTTCAATTGTTTTCTTTTGTTAGAGGGGCATTTATGTGCACCTTAAGCCACCAGGCAGAATCAATCAACTTGATGGTTTTTGTCATTGAAGAATAGTTCTATTTGCAAAACTTATGCATCCATTTAGTATTTTGACGTTAGGGATCCACGCACATTAATGGGTTGAGCTCTTATTCTTTGTGTCAAGATATCGTAGAAACCATATAGATTTCATCTACATAATTAGCGGCACCAGATTTGCACTACTTTCACTTCTCCTGCATGGTGATGTTTTCATGGTGATATATGTCCTTGCCCTTCACCTGTTTGAATTTCTGAAGTGGTTCTGTGATGCTTGTTCAGGTATTGAACCTAGAGAATATGGATAAAACCCGACACTGGAAAATTGTGGGCTGCAGTGCGTACACAGGAGAAGGGCTGCTTGAAGGATTTGATTGGTTGGTTCAGGACATTGCCTCGCGAATCTATATGCTTGACTAAGTACTCTGAAACATATTTACTCTGCCAAAGACATTCTTCAAATGTACTTGTGATAGTAAAATTGAGGGGTTTTTTTTGCTTTGCAAATTGCCTACTATGTGGATGCGTGTCCATGTACTTTTGGTTCAAATTTACCAATATAGTCCTTACTGGCCAGTCCTTATGTTTGTTGCTTTGTATAAGGTGATATTCCTAATGCATTAATAGAAGCAAAAACTATCTTTTGATTTTGCAATGGCTGACTGACGGTATCGTGCGAACAAGCCCCATAGCATGTTTATGTTTGCACATGAATGAAGCACAAGCATCCATTTTCACGCACTTTGGTTTATAAATATAACACTGATTGGATTATCATGGAGATGGATTGAGTTTCATGAGACTGAACACTACAGAAGGACTAGGAGCAAGGACCCTGCATATTCAAGGATGAAGCAGGACTATTCACGGGCCATGCTTATTGGATTCATGAACACAAGTAACATCAAGAGCAAACATAGCAATAACTCAAACCCTATTTGCTGGCCTTTTGGAGGAATGACTCCAGGGGAATTGAATTTCAACACAATCAGAGTATAAATTATTTGTGTCGTGAGGAAATTCTACTTAAATAAATAGCTTATTAAAAGCATTGAATAACCATCATTTTCCAGCATCCGACGATAAAAAATCCTCAAGAAAAAAAGAGAGCTAAAAACCTTGCAAATCTGGCAACCAGCAAATTCTATTATTCTAAAACATCATAAATTGATGATTGAAACCTCTTCCAAACTACAAAATCCTTGCAATTTAATACCAAAAACAAACCCAGTTTGACCTACTGAAGCATCAGAATCACACATCTCAGCCACGATCATTTTGACTTCTTTCCTTGTTTCTTCTTAATAACTTCATCAATATACATGATCCCTTTGCCTTTATAAACTTCAGGTGGCTTACAACTACGAACTGAAGCAGCAAACTGATGCACTCTTCCCTTATCAATTCCAGTACAGCAAACCACATTGTTCTTGAAACAAAACACCCGGACTGCAGGTGGCACAGTTAGTTCAACTTCATGACTGTAACCCAGTTTGAGAAATAACAAACGGCCTTCTGCTTCTGCTCGCGCTTTGTAACCAACACCTACAATTTTGAGAAATCGAAAGAACTTGGCTTCCATTGCGAAGTGATATCACTTGAAAGCTTCCTGGGATAAAAAAAAAAAAAGGAAAGAAAAAAAGATCACAGTCAAGCATTTTATCAAACAGTTGGTGAGCAATATGATACAGAAATATATTACACCAATGTCCCAATAGGGGCTTTTCGGGTTTGTGATTTTGACTAAGAGCATGAAGGTCTAATTAAAGGGTTCTTGAAATTTTCATTTTTTCCCATGGTTTCTTAGTGACCAGATAGATCAGAAGGAATAAATTTTCCAAGAAGTTTGTAAAACGCACAGATCACTCTCCAAAGAGAAATACTACAATCCCAATGAAAATCATAGAAGAAAGGAATCATCGCATTCTTACGTGAATTTGAAAATGGGTCGTACCAGAAAGTAAAAATGGGAAGTTGATGACAGGTTTACTTCACTGGAGAAATGGCATGTGCTGCTGCCGCTGCTCTATTTCCGTAGCTCAAACGTGTTTGGCAACGCCAGCTAGCGCAGGCAGTAAAGCTATTATGCTTTTTGGGTGCGCCTCCTTCTGTTTAAGCCCAAATTAATCTCTGAACTAAAACAATTCCTGAAATATTAACTTTCATAGTTTTCTCAATTAGTCCTTCAAGTTTCGTAGAAGTTCCTTTTAGAACCAATTTGTTTTCGATATGGAAAATGCTCTTCACATTTTCTCATCTTGGTGAGTTTTTGAAAAAATAAGTTGATTGAAAGCGTGTTCCTTCTAAAGGAAAGCATATAAGGTTTTGAATTCTGAGAGGGGAAATTGTTTATTTTATTGGAATTATTAACTTACAAAATGTAATTCTGAAGTTATTATTTGCTCGATTTATGGATTTATTTATAATGAATCACTGCTATAAAGTGTATGTATTCATCTCTGAATAATTTCAGTTGTAAATCATTGTCATATTAAAAGAGTTAATCTCAATGAGTTTTAAAACAATGAAAATGTTTAATTTGATAAAAAAGAGCTCCTTTTCTATAATATTCTTTTTCTCTCTAGATCGACAAAAAAGAGCTCCTTTTCTATAGTTCTTAAATTTGCAATGTTCACATGCAGTACCATTCCTCATTTTCATGCCCTGTTTCTCTTCCTCGATCTTAGTGTTCCTTGATTTTGGAAAACTCGATCACAAATCTTTTTTTTTTTTTGTTTTTTCCAGTTTTCTTTCGTTAAAACGTTTCTCACTTTAGGGTTCCTATCTAGCCTTCCGGTCTAGCCCTATTTATATTTTTAATCATGATTAAGACGGGGTTTGTTTTTTCTTCTAATTTTGTCGAAATTTGTTGAGATTTTAAGACTTTGAAACTCAGGTGGTGTTCAAGTGATTTGGGGTTTCGATTTTCACCAAAAATACATTCCTAAATTTGGGACTTTGAAATTTAGCGAGTTGATGGTGCATTCCTAAATTTCTTTGGTTTCGATAGAACTGCTGGTGTTTGGAGAATCAAAGCCCTTGGAAGAGTCTGTGGATGGCTTGAAAGGACAACGGTAGAGGACATGGACATAGCTGTCCGTGCACATCTGAATGGTCGGAAATTCATATTTCTTAACGATGTGATGTTACTCTTGTGCTGTCATCAGAAAACACAGAATCTGCTTTAGGCATTGAATTTTTCTGATGCCCAGTTCATCTTTAATCAATCACCTGGATCCGTTGTTTTACTAGCCTGCCTGTTCTGATCATTCTACTTGGATGAAAATAGTGCTTGTGCAAATCAACACACAATGATTCTGTTACAACTTCAAGAAATGAAGCGAAGGAGCAAAATGTCGGGAAAGCAAAGGTGTTGGAAATATAGCTGACAAATTCCTCCTCTTTCCTTTTCTTTTCGAACAACTTCCACTCTCATTTATCCTCTAGAGACTAAAACTTGAGGAAAATAAAGTTCCATAACCACATCGTACACTTTGCAAACTATAGGGATCAAATTGAAAAAAAGTAAAAAATGAACCATGTTTTATGAGCGCGTGGACCGTGAATGGTGTATGATGGAATGCAATTCTGCTCAAGTATGTTTGTCTAATGAATAATAATAAGAAGAAAATGGTGTTCATTTATATTGCACAAAAATAGATCCTGTTCATTATCTACAAACTATATTAGATTCTAGGATAATCTAAACAAAAATGGATTTTTAAAAAAAAAAATTAGAAGCTTCGAATTATCAAATTTGCTGCTTTTGAGTCGCACGCCAGGTAAATGTAGCCTGTCAATGCCAGAAAATGTCAACACCCGTCTCATTCAATATTCATAAAGAAATGAAAAAAGAAAGAATGTTAGATTGTACTAATAAAAAATATTGTAAAGAAATTAGAAACATCGGTGCAAACAGTCTGGAGAAATGTAAGAATCAACTAGCTGGAGGAATAAAAAAGAAATGCAAAAGAAACTTCAAAAATCTTGCAACTTGAATTTCACTAGAAAAGATAAAAAAAAATGTGAATGCAATAAAGAATCTTGTATGCATCTTTTCGTTTGCAGGACAGTATGGTTCTCCGTCGTCAGCATGTTTAGTTTTGAAGAGTAAAAAGACTTGAGCCATGGACTGAAAAGAATTCAAGCGATATCAATCCTGCAGATTCAAATGGAAAGTAGGCGGTAAGCCTAGGAATTTCAAGAGATGGTTCAGAATACCCAACAATTGTGGACAGTTCTCACTTTGAGTTATTTTGCAGCTACAAGGTTATCCTTGATGAGTTTTTCGGTTAATGCTTTTGAAAGCCCCCACACTGTATCTGTGCTCCCTACCTGCAAGATACATCACTGGTGTTTTCATCAGAAGAATCAGACGGAGGGAAGGAGTTAAATCCTTGTATTCTACGAAACCAATGTATCAACTGCTTGTATATTGTAACACAGCAACCATGTTCACTTCAGCAACTCAAGCCCGTAAAAAAGAACATTAACCCTTGAGGCGGTCTTTGCTGATGCAATTTTAACAATCAATGCCATTCAGATTTGAGTGGAAAAGGGTAGACACGACCTACTCAAAGAACATACAAGACAAGGTAAATCCTAAAGCAGATAGTTTATAAATGAGGCTCCATTGAATTGTGCACTTGTAAGGAGGACCCAAGTAAAGCGTAAGTAAGAATATTGGAAGAAAACTCAGCACTTGACATGAAGAAGGCTGCAAAATGAAGATAAGGACTCTAACAATGGCCACACGTTGGGGCATAATGTGGGCACCTTAAGAGCTAAATACCCTGGCTACCTGTGTTTGTCAGCCAAGCAAAGAGTAGAATAACTAACCCAGTGTCAGAGAAAAAGGGAGGGGGATAAGGAGGGGGGAGGGAGAGCTCACCACTGCTTCAACAAATGGTGATGTCAATGGATGTTCCAGTGTCAAACCCCCAGCAACATGGAGTGTACTTCCCTCATCAATCTAAGGCACATCTCATCATTAAAAGAGAAATTAAAAACAGTGTGGTTGAGAAAACAGCTTCAGAAACAAAATCCAATAAAGAATATGCATTTACAAAATTTACCACGCTATCAATGATCTCATCAGGTATCTCATGGAAATAAACCTGCATAAGTGAACTAGATTATTCTTTCAAAACTCAATCTCATTGAATTGTAAAGACTTCAAAGAGCTTTCAGATAAAGTTCTTTTTACATCAAGTAAATATTTAATACAGCTTTTCGGGACAAATTCCCAGAAATAGGCGATAAAATGATATATGTTCATGGTCTGCTGCTTTTATCTCAGGAGCATTGAACCATCTGAAATATTCCTACAAATAGTAACAGCTCAAATAGGAAATTTTTTGCCTGTGCATGTAAATATTTAACTGTCACTATCTCATCTATATAAAATAGTTAAGATTTACCATATCATAATCTCCATCCAGAAAGATGGAGAAAACAATCAACATATATATAGAGAACAACCATTACACTCTTCTACATGTTACAGTGGATAGATATATGGAGGCTGATAAATAATTGATCTGGAAACCTTTGTTGCATCTATGTACCTTTTTTCTCATCAAGTTGTTCATACAGGAATGGACATTAAAGGAGAGTAATTCAGTAGGCTTATATGATAGCAAAACTCTTTCTTGAATTTACAGCAATACTCTGCCGTTTTGAATGAACAATATGCCTACAGGATTAGATGGGCTAGGAACCATTTGAATGTCGCTATCCACTAAAACCCAAGCAAAATACAAGTACAAGCAAGCTGTACCTCAGCTTTTTCCCATGCTCCTTTTCGTATTCCAGTAGTAAGGTTACTTACAACCACAGATCCTATGACTGCTGCATGACCACCGGAATAGCCTGCAATAGTGCAACTACTAGTAATCTTTGACCACTAAAACAAGTTGAGCTTTATAAACAGTAGAGGACATGAGTGAACCCAATTAAGTAAACCTTTGATAAACTCCCGTGCTTCTTCCTTGCTATTTGGCTTTTCTCTAACCATCCCATTACTCACCACCACCTCAAAAAATCAATAGACTTGGCAGTAAGATAGAACTCCACAAGGAATGTCAAAAAGGGGACAGAACCTTTAATACAGAAGCAATCACAGGAAAACTATATGAAGCAATAAATAGATTCACAGAACACAAATTTAAAATAGGTAGAGGTTGTAATTAAGAACAGTGAGCTGGAATAAAAGCATACTGTGTCTGCAGTAATTAACAATGTTGCCTGAGCATCCTCTTCCACATGACCTTCAATCCGAAGCCTTTCTATGATGGCATTTGCCTAGGGAATAAAATTAAATAAATATGGCAGTTCAACAATACAACCATTAACCATGAAAGAAAAGTCACTAATATGCACAGTTGCCAGACAATACTACCAATATCAAATTTCATTTCACATAGTTCCATTACAAAAAGAAAGCCCACAAAGACAAAAAAAAGAAGCAAACTTTACATTATTAATGAAACAGAACGACTCAGTTATGCCCCAGTTAGCAATCCATCACAAAACCAAAATCTGTGCAAGGACAAATGCAGGAAGCCCACATTGAGAACAGACTAAACTATGGCCACGTGAGTGCATTTAACCTCAGCAATGAGTTATAAAGCCCATTCAAAGCAATAAAATGACATTTGAGACATCCAAGCATATAAAAGGTATAACAGGTGTAAATGATATACCTTTGCCTCAGCTAGAGCCATCACCAATTCCTCTGGCTTATCTTTTCTTATACTTTTTTCATCTATATCTGCGGTCTAAACCGATATCAAATTAACAACACAAACAGAACATAAAACCCATAATTGAAAACTAACATTCTCAACAAATAAATAAATAAAAAGCACAGGAGAATGCAGCTTAAGAATATACCACAACAGTAAATTCATATCCCATCTCATTGAGAATTTGCCGCCGAGCCAAAGATGATGAACCCAATATTATCTGCCATTGAAATATCACAACTATCCATCAATAATCATTTCCCTTTTTCTTTTGTTCTTTTAATTATAACACCATGAAAGTTTTCAACTTTGAAACTAACGTCACACTCCATGAAACTTCTTCTTGTCGAATTTTCACAACAACCCATCAATATTTTTCCATTGTAAATTACAATAGCAATAAAGTTTTCAACTTTGGAACTAATAGAGATACCGTACTAATAAAAGAACTGCTTTCCATTGCAGTTCCTTATTCCTAACTGTAAGAACACCATTTCCAATTATTTTGGAGGCTGTATATTTCCTTCACATGGACAAAACATGTTTATATTTTAAACCCAAGTTAATGTTCTTTAAGGATTCTCCAACAAGAAAATTATTAACTTGAGGTTTTCAAAACTGCTTTGTTAAAACACGCAATTTACTTTTCAATTGCTTCATGAGTATATTTTTGATAGAATGAAGCTGAAGAAGGAAAGAAAGGAGGAAGGAAAGAAATGCAGCAATAGAGACAGAGTCCCAAGGAACTAACCTTAAAGGAGGAATTACAACTCGTCATCTTTCCCTCTATCTCCTTTTCAAGCTCCATTTTCTAAGAGATGCTGCGTTGCCCGGAGAGGTGCGAATGGTAGAATTTCTGGCAGCATATTTTGTTTGTCCAGGTAGGTGCCAAGCGAGCATAAGTTTTGTCGGCTTAACTATTTTTTAGCCACTATAGATTCAGAAATATTTCATTTTGGTCCTCATATTTTAGAATCTTTAACGTCAACTTTAATTAAAATGTTTTTGGTTGTTGGTCTCGGCAATCTGTGTATTTTGTGATCCGTGATTTTCTTTTAATATTTTAAAATAATTTTTTCAAAATTATTTATTTTTATAAGCTATAAAAAAAACACAAAAAACAAACAACTTGATTGCTTTTTCAAGTAAAATACACTAGAAAAACAAAAACTACAGCAGACAATCGCCAATAGAATATCCATTTTCTCTCTCTTTATTTTGTTCTTTGACTTTCATGTTTTTCTCTTTGACTTTTCTTCGAAATCTCCATACATGGAATAATATCCCTCAATGACGTTTCGAAACTTATTTTTTTTTTAATTTAAAAATGGCCCTCCTTTAACTTTTATTAACTATTTGACCAGCATATGCCAAATTAAAGATTTTCATGTTTTTCTCTTCACATTTCCTTCAAGATCTCCAGAATAAGTTTTTCAAGATTTTAGCTGGATTGACATTTAAAAATGGGTCCTCCAGGCCTAATGTTAAGAATGGGCCCTTCATAACCCAATTTAACAAACAGAGCCTAAATAAAAAATTTTCATTACATTGAAAATTTTTGAACTGTACAAACATGCAACATTATTCAGCGTTTGTTGGGTAGTGTTAATTATTTTTTAAATAATTTTTTATATTAAAATATATACTAATAATATTTTTTTATTTTTAAAAAATTATTTTTGATATCAGTATATCAAACCGATCCAAAATATATTAAATTTTAATAAAAAAAAATTTAAAATTTTTTAAAAACATGGATTGAGGTAAAAATATAGTGTTTTTTTTTTCTTTTTATCCCTGTTTGATAAACAATGATCATGGAGTGCACGTATTTCTTCTCTCACGTTTATTAGCACAGATAAAAATTTCGTGTGCATATATTTAGAAGAAAAAATTGTAAGTATTTAAAAGGAAATAACTAAGAGATACAGTAGGTATTCTATAAACGTTGGAAAAAGAATATATGCATTGGAAGTACAAAAAACTAGCCACCAAAGATTATTCAAACATCATTGATGACTTATTCCTATCTTCTCTATGAATTTTCTGTTTCTAGCTTTGCCAGTATTTGTTGGAATCTTTTTGATTGTTGAGGGCCCTTTTGATTCTGAATTGAAATGCTTGTGATTTATTGTTGAATCTGTCAAATCTATATGCTGAGCCAGAGAGAATGCATCTTTCACATATTGATGACTAGTTAAGGAGAAAAGAAAATCAATACAAAGGAGAAAATGCTAATGTTTCATCTTTGGTACATATAATTATGTTTAGAGTTTATTATACTTGAAAGGAAAAAAGTTTAAGGGTGATGATGAATCAAGGAAAAATTGCCGTCTCTACAGCTGAGACCATTCTTCATTAGAGCTTCAGTTGCTGCAGCCTGCAGAAGAGAGGGTCAAGTAGGGAAACAGGACAAAACTGAAACCAGCTTCCATTTCACTGTTCATGGTACATTATGTATTGAAAAGATGAACCATGACGTTTAGGGTAACCAGTTTTCGTATCAATCGAGATTCCTTCATTACAACATTTTGTTACGTTCTACAAAATGGCATGATAATCTAAAAAAGATCGGCTTTTATGCTGCTTAGAATTCATTGTTTATCAGCTTGTGAATCTAAAAACTGCGAATCTAATAGATCACTCAATGCACAAAAGAATAATGCTTTGTTGGGCTAAACATTTAGCAATCTGTAGGTCCATTCTTTCTATTAATGACTTAGGAACTAGATATATAAGTATTAGTGTGTTACCTATCCCCTTCATTGCTCATGATGCTGTTTTCCTTGAAGCTTTCTTCATGATTCTTGTAATTTGGCAGCGGCACTTGGTCTGACTCGATTCTCTTGATATCGTCTAGAAGGATCTCATACTGCTTCCTCACTTCCTCTTCGGTTGTTTCTCCGACAAACGTGGCTATGTTTCGCCAACGATCTGGGCTATCCTTGTCATATATTGCAAGAGCGTTTTCGAACAACTTGTTTTTCTGTTCTGACCAATTTGAGTTAGGCTGTGGGAAAGAACTGGATCCCATTTCTCTTGCCGGGATAAGAGCGAAAACGGTGAAGCTAAGTTTTATAGTCTTGGGAATAAGATCGAGAATGTGATAGGGGATCAAATTTGAGTATGAAAACTAGAAAATGGAAGAAAAACTGACTGCTAGACAAGACTAGTGTGAAAATTCAGGAGGGTAGAAGCATGGAATGTGTGAATCATGAAAGAAGACTGAAGTGAAGTGTCTGGTGAGAAATTTAAGAAGTTGCAATGCAAGCCACGCTTAAATCTGAAACACTGTAGTTGACACTTGACATAAGTGACTGGTTACTATCTCAAAACGAGAAGAAACGTAGACGGTTAAGACAGATTGAACATTATATCCTATTTTTTTAGAAGGATCTAAATTCAGTTCAGAGATAAATTTATTTTATATGTCTTTGTGTATCTGATTCTGTCATGTAATACTAACCAAACGTAACTTGCAAAACTACAAGTCATGTAACGGAAAAACACCTCATAGTAGTAGAGTCTTGAGATCGGTGTTTTTGAGTTCGAGGATCACTTGATGCTATTTTGGAGGTGTTTACAATATTATTTGCAAGTACCATGTTTCATGCTTGTCTATTTAATAAGCATGTGGGCTTTCATTAGCAGGAAATTCGCTCCACAATCTTGAAAGAAACGAGACCCACTTCCCTGATCTGGACATTCAAATTATTTGTCATTTAGAAATCAGAACCAGTAATGCTCTCAGAAATTGCAAACCAGCATTTGTCAACAGTATCTGGCCCCTAGTTAACCGGTCCCGTAAGGTAGAGCATAAAGCTGATTCTGTTCTGTTCTCTTTGATGAAAAATCTATGGTCTTAGAACGAAAGGAAAAATGGGAAAGACCCTACGCAAAGATTCAGAAGGTGATCTAACGGATACCGGCACTTTGCATTTCTTCCACTTCCCAAGTACCCTGGCTAGTTTTTTAGCATGCTAGTTGAGCTATATTTTAGCTACATGTTGCAGTGCCTAGAATAAGAAACTAAATATACTAAAACTACATCATTTAAAAGTATTAAACCTCAGTGTTCATTATTGGCAAAGATCCATAATTGCTGGTGATGTTGTTAAGTCAAGATCTTATGCTGATTTAAAATATATAGAGAAGAAAGGCCAGTGCTTACTTTAGGCCAACTTGTTAGCACTTTTATGCTGGTAACATCCTCGACTCCTAAGCAAAGGCAAAGGTTTCATGGCGCAAGGGGGTATCGTAGGCAGAGATGAAGTAATTTCGTAATTCGTGCAGAAATTTTTGGCATGTTTGGCATTGGAAATCAAGTTGCTTCCTTGAGATTGACTGACTGACTAGGAACTGTAGGTTTGTCAAACTGTGATGCACATGATTTATGGACAAGCAAACACTTGAAAAAGGTCGGTTTTCTGTCTGCCAACCCATGGAAATATTGGTAACAGAGAGAAAACACATGTCTGAGTTTTTGACTGTAACATCATGTCCTCTTCCGAAGTAGAAATGATTATGCTGACAACGCCTCATGATTATCAATTATCACGAGCTCCTGGACTTATGATAGCATTTTTACTACACTATTAAACGGCACATTTTTCTTAGAGGATCATTTTCCCTTTCTGTATCCGCATTCTGCATGTTCCTGACTCTTTTCGTTTTTTCTATAGCGGAATCTGCATTTTATCTTTCGTTTTTTCGAATTCTGTATCTTGAGCTTTCAAATAAAATCGCTTGAGAAATCAATTTCATATGCTAGGAAAGAATGCATCCATGACTAATCATAAAGCAGAAAGGAGAGTTAACACAACGGATAAAATGCTTAACGCTGCTTCTTTGGTACATATATAAGATAGAAGTCATCACAATTAAGAGAGTAAAAAAATATTGACTCAAAACTTCAAGGAAAATAGCCGTCTCTATTGTTGAAATCCTTCTCCACTAGAGCTCTAGTTACTGCAGCCTGCAGAAGAGAAGGCCAAGTAAGGAAACATACGCAACATAATCAAATCATTTCATTCTTTCACCATCCCAGTTACTACTAGAAAATTGTTAAATAACAATAGAATATATTCCATTGGTAATTTTCAATGAAAATAATGACAGAAAATATTGGTTGGAAATTCCCAACATATATAAATTACAGAAGAAAAATATTTCATCACGAATTATCAATGGAAATACAGCTTATACACCGATGGAATCAATTTTTCAGTTGTGAATTACATTCAATAATGTTTTTCCAAATTTATAATAGCACAAAAATGAGATTTTTTTATATTAGAATTCATGACAAGTTTGTGAATCTAAATTAATCAATCCATATAAGAATTATGCTTTCGTGGACTAAACATTCAGCAAATCTCTTTGTTCATTCTTCGGATTGATGATTAAGGTGCCGATCATGTGTTAGAATTACCTCTCCTCTTCATTACCGATGATGTTTTCCTTTCTGCTTCCTTCATTCTTGTAAATCGGTAGCGGAACTTTGTCCGACTCAATGCTCTTTATATCATCAAGAAGGATCTCGTATCGCTTCTTTACTTCCTCCTCGGTTGTTCCTTTGACAATCTTGGCTATTTTGCCCCATCGATCCGGAGTGTCCTTATCATATATCGCAAGAGCATTTTCGAACAACTTGTTTTGTTCGGCTGACCAATTTGTGCTGGGCTGCGGGAAAGAACTTGATGCCATATCTCCCATAGAGATTTTAGAGAGGGTGGAGGATGCTTAAATGGCGAAACAAGTTTATGTCTGTCGGAAATAAGACAATATTGTAATTCAGGATGTCAAATTTGCGTATGGAAACAAGAGAATTGAAAGATAGCAGAAAGGCATGGTCTTCCCAAGAGATTCAATACAGTACAATAATATTGTAATTCAGGATGTCAAATCTGCGAATGGAACCAAGAGAATTGAAAGAGAGCAGAAAGGCATGGTCTTCCCAAGAGATTCAATACAGTACAATAATATTGTAATTCAGGATGTGAAATTTGCGTATGGAAACAAGAGAATTGAAAGATAGCAGAAAGGCATGGTCTTCCAAAGAGATTCAATACAGTACAATATTGTAATTCAGGATGTCAAATCTGCGAATGGAAACAAGAGAATTGAAAGATAGCAGAAAGGCATGGTCTTCCAAAGAGATTCAATACAGTACAAAGCACGAAATGTGAGTCAAGGAAAGGCGAGCATGGGAAGTTGCGATGCAAGTGTTTAAGCCCGATCAGCACGGTGTAAGGGATGATTTGCTAGTTGGCAAATACATATTGAAAATTTGCAAAAGTACACATTGTTTAATGGAAAAGTACCTCACAGCAGCAGTGTCGACATAAGTTTTTCGGAGGATCACTTGATGATGTTTGGATGTGATAATAATACCCATTGCAAGTACGATGTCTGTTTATTAAATGAGCATGTGGGAATTCATTGACAGGAAATTCACCTACCATTCTTGAAAGAAACAAATCCACTGGATACAAATATTCAAATGATTTTATCATTTGGTGCCAGTATTGTTCTCGGGAAAAAAAAAAAAAAAAGAGCCTCTTTGATAATCAACCTCGGTGGCGCAGGCGGGCGAGCCATATGATTTGATCATTTTAAACATTTGAATCTGCTACAAGTTGATCATCCAAGAAGCCTAGTATACTCGTTTATAAATGAATGGAACAAAGCTAAATTTAAAAAGAGATTTGTTTATGTCAAATGAACAACCTAATAAGAAAAGTCAATAACTTTTGTTCTGATATTATATTTTACATGCATGTTAGATCTAACCATAACAAATTGAGCTCCAAAAAAACCCTTAAATTAAACTTGAAAGATGTCAATTTCGTTACTTTTCTTTTTCTTTTTGAATTTTTAACTTAATTTTAGATTTTATATCGCTTTTATATTTGGTTTAAGATTCTAATTTTCTTATCTTAGAAAAGTTTGTTTCTTGCCCTCTATATAATATGCAGTAGTGATAAAGAGTGTAAATCCGCCAATTCTATTTTTCTCTGTGATTGCTGTTTTCTTGTGTTGTTTTTCACTTACTTAGTAGAATCTGTGGTCTGATCTCATATAACCCATCTCAGAAATTAAGAGCATAAATCCAATTGTGTCCACTTGATGAAAAATGGACTGTCCGATCTAGTTTCAGTCCCGGAACCCCCCAGATTCATGGTGGTGATCAAACTGAACTGACACTAACAGTTTGCCTTGCCGGTCCTCTTCTTCCGAAGTGACCGAACTTGATTTTATATATATGGTCCGAAAGTAAGTGTTCATTATTGCCAAAAATTTACAATTTGATATACTGCTAAACTGGTTTTTGAAAATCTTTTGCTGATTACAAACTGAGACGAGAGGCCATTACTTTAAGCCAACTTGTTATTAATCTGATGAGAATAATTTTGGTATTGACTCCTAGGCAAAGGCAAAGGTTTCGTAGGTGGGGGGTAATCTAGGCTGAGCTGGAGTTGTTCATATGTGTTGAAATTTCTGGCATGCTTTGGTCTCAATGACATTGAAAATCAAGTCGGATCCTAGAGATTACCTGATTAACTTAAAATAATGTAGCTTTATGAACTGTGATCATCATATTTTATTATAAAAACACACCCTTAAAACTATAATCTCATGTGGGGTCTGCAGTCTGTCTGCTTCGCTTTTCTTTGTCCACCTCTGGTCTCCAATAGCAGGTTGCGAAAATGCTGGCATTTGAAAAACACCGCGTCTGAGTTTTGACTAAGAACACAGGTCTAAAAGTGATCATGCCTCGAGGAATGCTACAATGCCTCATGTTTATCATGAGCTTTACCTTTTAGTTCAAGTTTTAACACCTTTTTTAGCCCATTTAATTTTTTTTGGCCCATTTAATTTTACTATCCCATGTGGTAGCATATTTAAACTTAAATAATTAATATCTGCTTTTCAATCTTCTCAGCACTTGATTGATTGTGGCTGGCTACCACATGCAAGCAACTTCCTTTTAGCTTTGATCTCTGCCTCCCCCACTACCGATACAAAGTTATCAATGATGTACAAACATATTCAAGAAGTTCGGTAACAATATTTATATATTAGATAATCAGTTAATTTTTTAATTTTAATAATTTAATTTATTTTTTTAATTTTAATAATTATTAGTTGATGTGTGATACATAATAATTCAAGGTAGTTAGTAAATGATACTTGTAAAAAATCATCTCTCATAAATATAAAAGTTCTTGGATGTGTTTAAATAAATATTTTTATAAAAAAAAATATAATAATATTTTAAAAAATTCATAAAATATTTATAGCTCATGAATTTTATCTTTTTATTAAAAAAAAGTCTAAAAAATTATTAACTTTGAGATATTTTAAATTGTATATTACTTAAAATAATATAAAATATTAAAAGATCCGGCATGGGATCTTGAAAGAATTTTTAATATAGTATTGAATTTGGACAAGTTACATAAACCTGTTAAAAATAAAAAATAAGTTTAGATATATTATCTAGATGCAAGCACTTAACTTCACACATGCTAGGGTATGTGCTCATGAGAGTATTTAAAAGTGCTCGGCAACGTTCCTTGGACTCAGGCAACCGGGCTCATTTCTCTTGGATACTGTTGTCTGTACCCATGTGCTTATGGAAAAGTTTTTTGAGCTTTTAGAAAGAATTTTAAGCTAATTAAATTTGAGTTTATATGTTATCTGTATGTAAACCTATCGATGGCTTAAATATGGCATACAACAAGGTACTTTAGTTGTTCAAGGTAAATGCTTTCCTCCTGCTATGCATTTTTATTTCAGCCTAGATATGATTCCTAGAGAGGCCACTGATCAGGAATTTTCATGCTTAACTGGTCATACAAAAAATATAGTCAGCTGTTAGAAGAAGGTCCTCAAAATACCTGCATAAACTTCTCTCCAAATAAATTGTTTAACTGCTGAGATAATTGAAGAACACTTCTGCATCAGTATATAAATTCTGACATAAAACAACGTAAATAAAGTTTGCTGTACACTCGAGAAGCAACTATAGACAGAAATACAACAAAAAGAAATTACTTTCAAGCTCTCTCCATGGAAAGCATGAGTGGCCAATTTGCGCAGATTAATCCATTTTCCATCCCTAGCTGCCACAAGTCCGCCCCCAAAGATTTTCTTTGAATAAAAGATTGCAGCTCAGACTTGAGGTAATTTCCATCTTTGTTGTTCAGTATCTCTTTAACCTGTTCAGGTTCTGCGACTTCCAATTGTGCTCCACTGCCTTTCCACCAAAAGAAATCCTTTCCTGCAGCAAAATATGGTAGAGATAAAATTAAACATGAGGTTGAACTCGAGGGAATGGTTGATGGCATAATTTCATGGGCTTGCTTATGGCCTCTTTTGTCAAGTCGAAGACCTCTTTCAAGTTTCCATGAAGGAATCTGAAAGAAGGGCATTCAACTCCTTTTGAGTACAAGGCAGACTGTACGTAAATTGGAGTCTGTTAAGGAACGTGATGATAATCAAAATTAAGCAGGGGCATACACAACTTGAAAGGAACATTATCGTGGTTCCCATGGTCACCACGGCCATGCTTCACTGAGTATGTACAGGGTTAGAAAATCTTCTTCTTTTAGCTATATAACTTTCAATAAGGATTTTTTTTTTTTTTTGTATAAAGAAGAGGGTTTAGACTATTTAGCTTATTCTTTAATAGAACTTTTTTCTCAACAATTTAAGTATAATTTTGGGGTTTGTGAAACTTTAGTTTTATTTTTTATATATATAAATTATGTCAATTGATATTATAACAGACTGACATGCTTGATGAAAAGAGATCGATATTGACAAATATCATCCCATCTCGCAATGCAAATCAAAGAGCGGAGATCGTTTAAGATACTCTGAGAGCTCAAGATAGTGCAAATAACTAGAGAATTGATTGGTTGAAGTTTTTGGTAGTAAACTTAACTAAGCAATGGGATGGATCAAGGTACAAACATGGATGATGATGAAGGACATGACTAAAGACATACCTCTAGGAAGACAAAACCCAAGTCATCCTACCTAGTGATATTGATCAACTAAATAAAGGTTAGGGCACTATGAAAGTTAAAAAGTTAGTGCAGAGAACTAAAGTTAGCGCAGAGAACTTTGTCATAAAGATTTGATAATTGGAGTGTTTAGTAGAGACTTAATTGAGGACTAGATCAATTATTAATGGAATGTGCATATAGGGATCATAATGAGGAGAGAGACTTGCACAAAGTCTTACATAGGTTAGACAAAACCTAGACATTGCTAAAAACAAAGTAAAAGTTGGAAAAAAAAACAACCGGTGAGATCATTAACTGGGTCATTACCTGTGTAATTAAAGTTTGAGTCTTAGCTGGGTTCTTTTCTCTGTATCTGGGTTTGAATTTCATTATGTATATCTATCATCCTCGTGGTGTCTTACCTGTTCACTAGATTTGCAGGATATTCAGTGAGCCGTGAGGATTAGTCATGGTGCGCGTAAGCTGACCCGAACACCCACATAAATAATAAAAAAAAAAGTTTGAGTCTTAATTTTTCATAAAGACCAATAATTAGTGCAATATTAAAGTAAAACACGCTTCCTAGTTAAGTAACACCAAAAGTGAGAATATTTCGCGTTTTCTTTTAAAATTTGTCCTTAGTCATTATATACCATTGAAAAATAGTTCATCGAAAGCCTTCGGGACGCACGAAGAGATACCCCCACTAAGAGATGAATTTTGATTAAAAATTTCAAGCAACCTTGCACTGAAGTAACAAATGGTCTGGAGTCTTTGCAAAAAAAAGGATAACAAGATTGATCAACTGGAACTAACAGTCTGCTAAAAAAGAAAGGGTTTTGTATATAATCTATTTTGCACAGCTAGCCATAAAAATGTCTGAATCTTTAGAGGGGCTGCAGAATCCCAGATGTTTGGCGTAAAAGAGCAAGTTCCATGATAATCCAACCCACCAATTAGTGTATTGCAAGATTTAACTGAAAATCTCCCATCTCTTTCAATATCGATCCAGATTTTAGCATCTGGTTTCCATTGAAACAACTGAATCTCGTTTAGAAAGCCTTGCAGTGAAAAAACTTGATCAAGCTCAAAAGCCCTTAAAATTCTATCGTCCAACCCAACTGCCAAGTCCAGAATCCATTATACCATGAGCCCATGTTCGAAATTGTCACAAGCTACCCAGCAGACAATCTGTACAATCTACCGTGTTTATGCTTCAGCGATGAACCTCCCAACCACGTATCATTCCAAAAGTGAACAGACTCGCCATTCCCGACTACTGATTACTATTATCTAATAAGCCAAAAACTGTTCTGATTTACTGTGGATTGTACATTATAGTTAACAATAAAACATTAAATTATTTATTTATCTTATTTTATCTTGTTTTGTTTTTCATTTTAAGCTGTGATGTTTTTTTTTTTTAGTTTTTTAGCTTTTTTTCCCTGTTTTTTTTATGCCTTTCAGGTTTTTTTTGGTTTCTTTTTAATAATTATTTTTATTTAATTTAGTTTGTTGATGTTAATTTTTTTAATTTAATTATTAGATTTTCATGATACGAATCTTGAGTTTAACATATTAACTTGATTTGAAGAGTTAACCTAGATTTCTTTTGCTTTTTTTTTATTAATTTTTTTTTGTTTATCTTAGTTTGTTAATGTTAAATTTTTTTTTTATTTAGTTATCAAACTTTCATGATATATATCTCAGGTTTGATGGATTAACCTAATTTCATGGGTTAACCCAGTTAATTATGGATTAAGCCGTCCATTTTTTTTTGTTTTTTTTAATAATTTTTTTATTTAATTTAGTTTGTTAATGTTAAATTTTTTATATTTAGTTATTATACTTTCATGACACGAATCTTGGGTTTAATGGGTTAACCTGGTTTGACGAGTTAACTCAAAGTTTTTTTTTTTGCTTTTATTCTTTTTAATTAATTTTTTTTCATTTAGTTTAGTTTGTTAATGTTAAATTTCTATTTATTTAGTTATCAAAATTTCATGATATATATCCTGGGTTTGACGGGTTAACCCGTTAATTTTTTTTTTTATTTAATTATCAAACTTTCATGATATGAATCTCAGATTTGACGGGTTAACATATCAAATCAGGTGAACCTAGTTAATTCAGATTTTTTTCTTTTTATTCATTAGGTTTTTTTTTCATGTTGGCTTTTTTCATTGTTTTTTTCTTTTTAATTATTACACTTTTATGACACAACTTTACAGTCAGACCCACATTCAAAGCTATTGGGTCTGGTGTTGTAGCCAGAGTCACTTAAATTTGAATCATGTAAATTTAATAATATTATAAATATTACTCTTGGATCAATTGTTGCTGTTAGACCCAAGGCCTTTAAGTATATTTTGCAGAAAGACTTAACACTCTTAGATCTTAGTATTTTTTATACAAGAAAAAAATATTAACCCGTGGTGTATGTCTTTTTTTTTTCTTTTTAAGCTTTTTTATTGTGAACTGCACAGTGCAGTTCATAGTGAAAAAGTTAATGTTTTTAGTTTTTCTTTTCTTTTTTTTTAATTAATTTTTTTAATTTACTTTCTTAATATTAATTTTTTTCTATTTAATTATAAGACTTTAATGACATGAATCCCAGATTTAATAAGTTAACCTGGTTTAACGGGTTAACCCAGTTAATTCAGATTTTTTTCTTTTTCTTCATTAGTTTTTTTCTTCGTGTGACCTTTTTTCTCTTTGCCTTTCCATTTTTAAGTAATCTTTATTTTTTTTTTAATTTAGTTCATTAATATTAATTTCACACTTTTATGACACGGATCTCAGGCTTAATGGGTTAACTTGATTTTGAGGGTTAACCTAGTTGATTTAGATTTATTTTTTTTCATTAGTTTTTTCTTCTAATTTTTTCTTTTAATATTGTATGCAGTTTATGGTAAAAAAAACTTATGCCTTTGGTTTTAGTTTTTTTTTTATGTCTTTCGTTGTGGACCGCATAATGTAGTCTACGGTGAAAAGGTAGATGATTTTTTTTTTAATTTAGTTTGTTGATATTAAATTATTTTCTATTTAATTATTAGTCTTTCATGACACGAATCTCAGGTTTGATAAGTTAACTTAGTTAATTTAGATTTTTTTTTTTATTAGTTTTTTTTCTTTCTATAGGTTTTTTTTCTTTTAACCCAGTTAGTTTATTTCTTTTTCTTTTTTATGCCTTTTACTGTAGACTGCATAATGCAGTCTATAGTGAAAAAAATGATGTCTTTTGTTTGTTTTTGTTTTTTTTTTAATTATTTTTTTAAATTTAGTTTATTAATATTAAATTTTTTTTCTATTTAGTTATCAAACTTTTATAAAGAATCTCGCATTTTACAGGTTCACCTAATTAATTATGGGTTAACCTGTCAATTTTTTTTTTCTATTTAGTTATCAAACTTTTACGATAAAAAGTTTAAGAGTTGACGGGTTAACCTGATTTGAGAGGTTAACTCAGTTAATTTAAATTTGTTTTTTCTTCATTAGTTATTTTCTTCATGTTGGTCTTTTTTTTCTATGTTTTTTTTATATAATTAATCTATTTAATTATCATATTTTTATGATACAACCTTGCAGTTAGACTCACATCTAAAGCTATTGAGTCTGGTATTGCAGCCAAACTCACTTAAACTTGGGTCATGTAAGTTTAATGTTATTATTAACATTATAAATATTAGTCCTGAATCAAGCATTACAACCAAATCCAAGACTTTTAAATATAATTTTATAAAAAAATATGATATTTTTAACTCTTAATATTTTTTATATTTTTATATATAAAAATTAACTTACAACTTCGCGCGACTCATCTAACTATTCTATAACTATTTCTTGAAGTTTCTACACTAATTTCTGATGGATTTATTGTTTTTATTATTCCCTGGCAAATACCTGATAGTTTCATGCTGCAATAAGGAAGACAATTCTCAAAACTTAGGATGTACTTTTTTTCAGATTAAATCGCTCCATTTACCTTCACATTCCGTGCTTAGTCACCAAAGCCATTTGAATAACATAGCTTTATTCTTTTCGAGTAAGGATCTGATATCTGAACCTCCACAGGTCTTTTCTCTGATAACTGTGCACCATTGAACCTTGCAAATCTTTCTTTGTTTAGCAACCCCTGCCTAGAGGAATCTTCTTTGAATGTTTGAATGGATGTGAGAAGCCTGCATACCCCTTTGGGCATTAAGAATATTAACATAAAGTAAAGGGGCAATGAGTTTAGAACACTCTTAATCATGCATATTCTTCCTGCCATACCATGCATCCTCCCTTTACATGATTCTTAAAAGAAGAAATTTGATTCATGCTGATTAAACTTCTGTCCTATTAATCTGGAAAATCTTTTCAAAAAACAGTAGCTTAACACTCTCTTTCATGTATAATTCTGTATAATCTTGAATGTTATTTTTATATATATATATATATATATATATATAGAGATTTAGACAAGCATATAAGTTATTATGTTCTTGTTGAGATAAATCCGATCTAATTATCAATTGATTTTGATATTTTATTTGAAAAACGAAAAGATAACTTGATATGGAAATTCAACTTCGGAAGCATTGATTTCAATCTTCCTACTTTCTTGCTGCACACGACCTCCCCTCCTCCTCCCCTTCTTCTTCTTCTTCTATTAACAATTGTGAACACTGATTAATCTGACCAAGGCCCGGTGGCTAGTTCCTCTTATTGGGCTTAGAGATTCTTTCTCGAAAATTTGTTTGTGATGATGCAAGGGTGGGATAATTTCATTTTCCTCCTTGAAACTTAGGAAAATTATCAATTCTTCCCAAGAATTTAGGTCAATCGATTCCTGAACTTTTCGAAAAGGTTCAGTTTACCCTTCACATCAATCTTCATTAAGAGAACTAATGGAAGGTGACTTTCATGTCAGTAGTTTTCTTTCCAGATGTGCATTCTTTGATTAATTATATATTTTTTCATGTGTGGATTCTTTTGCTAATAAATTGTAGTTCAATTACTCTGTTCTCTTTCAAATCTTTTTTGTAAGAAAACAATGAATGGATTGTTTCAATTTTTCTTTATAGATTTGAATAATTTTATAGAATAATTGAGAATTTATAATTAAATTAGTAGTTCTTCATTTATAAATTTTAGTTCCACTAAATTGAGACCATCTTTCTCTCACCACAACTATTCATTTTAAAGAATCGCCAACAGAAACAAGCCAAACAGAAACTTTTTTTATTTTAAGAAAAAAACACCGTAATGTGGCGACGGAGCTTTAGCACGGCGACCAACGCCTCGACCGCACTGAAGGAGAAGAAATGGGACGCGCTGGTGATCGGCGCCGGCCACAACGGCCTAACAGCTGCCGCTTATTTAGCTGGCTCCGGCCTATCCGTCGCCGTTATTGAACGCCGCCACGTCATCGGTGGAGCTGCCGTAACGGAAGAACTGATTCCAGGCTTCAAGTTCTCTCGCTGTAGTTATCTCCAAAGTCTCCTCCGTCCTTCACTCATCAAGTAAACTACATACATAAAATCTCTATTTTCATTTTGTTTTTTTAAAAGTCCGCGTTTGACATGTCGTTTTAATAATCGTTATTTATCCGTGCTTGAAGAGAGTTGGAGTTAGGGAGGCATGGATTGAAGTTGTTGAAGAGGAGTCCGTCGTCGTTTACGCCGTGTTTAGATGGAAGCTACCTTTTATTAGGGCCTGACAGAGAGCTTAATCATTCAGAGATCTCTAAGTTCTCTGTTAATGACGCCAATGCATATCACAGGTAATGATTAGTTTTCTTTCTTTCTCTCTTAATTAGTTTTTACCTTTGAGATAAATGGTTTGTTTTGTTTATTATTTTTTAATAAAAAAAACTGGCATTTGCAGATATGAGAAGCAGCTAGAGAGTTTCTGTAAGTTGATGGATCCTTTGTTGGACTCGCCACCACCAGAAACTGCGCAAAATGGAGCGTCTTTTAATGATCGATTGAAGGGCAAGTTGAGAAAATGGGCTTTTTGGGCAAGTTTTATGCGGCAAGCACTCTCATTAGGGCAAAAAGATTTGGTGTAAGAGCTCTTTTAGTTATCCAAGTCCGTGGGTTTGGTTAGGTAGTAGAACTAAGTAAGAAAAGGCTATTAGGAATTCTGATATTCAAACTTTGAATCTTAGGAAATGCTTGCTGATTTTGGCAGGGATTTTATGGAGCTTTTGCTGTCTCCAGCTTCGAAGGTTTTGAATAAATGGTTTGAGGTTTGTTATCTAACTAGTTTTCTTAGTACTTTATTCTCTAATTCAAAGAAGGAAATTTTCGAGAAGTTTTTTTTGTTAATTCCTTTCATTTGTTTATATGTAGCATGTTCATAATGTGTTTAAGTTCAAGAATAGCAATAAAATAAAAACTGTTTAAAGCATACAATTATGAGTGGATGTCGCTCATTTTTCTCTAATGGTAACAAAGTGATAGCAACTAATTTTGATGAAGTTTTGGTGATTACATTTGCTTTGTAAATATGATATTGTTTATAACATGCATTGGATTCGAATCTTTGTTGTGTTTTTATGATTTTTGGCTTTTTAATCTTCTGCTGCTGAATTTACAGACAGATGTTCTTAAGGCAACTCTTGCAACAGATGCTGTGATAGGTTCTACGGTAAGATTCCAGCACCAATGTGGAAAATTAGTTTTAGATCTAGTACATTTCATGTAAAACACTCAGCAGGCAGCAGCACACAGTGCACACGCAGAGGCTAACTTACTCCCCTCTAACGATGAAAATATGGAAGAGAGGGGGTTCGGAAGAAGAAAGCAAACACTGTGGATTGAACCATTTTTTTTTGGTTTCTTGAATGTATATGCAGGCAAGTGTCCATACACCAGGTAGTGGGTATGTTTTGCTACATCACGTGATGGGAGAAACTGACGGGGAACGTGGAATTTGGTCGTATGTATTTCCATTGTCATTTTGATGTGTTGATTGTCAATCACAGAAATAGAAAGCTGTAAATTGCCTAGATCACTTTATTTTTTATTGCTCTAATGTGTTACTAGTAATCACCTTTTTTTTTTTCTTTAGTCAGAATCAGGCTAATCTAACTAAATTGTGATGTGGCATTGAATCTCAGTGCAGTCATTTTGTCTTCAAAAAGGAAAGGTTTCTGCATCGTCCATCAGTTTAACAAGAAAAGCTTGTAGAACTTTCTAAGTTGAGAGTACCTCCAATATGCGTATGCTCTTTGTATGTGAAACATTAGGATTGTTATGTTGAAGCTCATGAAATAGACTTCCTCTAATCTTCTTTCACTAACTCACAAATTTGGCTTCATCTAAATTCTCAATTTAATTCATTTGACTCATCTTTTCTTTACCTTGCATATTGTTCCTCACACATTTTCTTCTTTCAGATGTATAAAAACGTAGTGTGCCTTTGTCACATTATAAGCACCACATTCATCAGCAATTATACATGAGAAATCATATATTTGTAGGTATGTTGAAGGTGGGATGGGTTCAGTATCCTCTGCTATCGCAAATGCTGCTAGGGAATCTGGGGCTCATATTGTGACAAGTGCGGAGGTATCTTTGGTTCAATTACTCTTATCTTTCTTAAGGCACCTGCTGCAAGTGAAAACAAACAATATACATCTGAAAATGAAAGGAAAGTAGCTATCTTTGGATGGATAACTGATTGTTTGTCCCTGAACTGCCTACCTCTTAATATGAAGTTTGGAATCATTCTCGATGCGAACTCAGCTGAAGTTAATTCATGATGCTTTGATCATCATTTCTTTTCTCTACATGAATATGGCTTTGTATGTTCATGTTAGCATCTGTTACGCTTTGGAGATTAAGTTGAATTTCTTATGCTACTTCTGAAATGCCTTAATAATGACGGTAAGGTTAATTAAACTTAATTAGCTAAGATATATTGATTCATCAATCACTGTCATGTAAGTTGAGAGCCAATCATGCTTTCATTTCCTAAACTTCACTTGTATGTATGTTTAGCTGTTTGCATTGGTGTCTTGTGGAATTGTTCTAGGCTATCTTTGATATTTTCTTTTCTGTGTACAGGTTTCACAATTGATGATCAAGGATTCTGGCACTGTGAATGGGGTTAGTTCATTAACCAGTTCTATATATTAAGTGTGTTTAAAATCTCAAATCAAACTAATCAGATACAGTGAACATGATCAAATTATTTAGGTATTACTGGCTGATGGTACAGAAGTTCTCTCTCCAATTGTTCTGTCAAATGCCACTCCTTATAAAACTTTCTTGGTAAAATTTGAATTCTGTTCTTCCATCATTTATTTTTCTGAGATGGACAGCCTATTGAGTTTGTAAAAGCGATACTGGAAATATCATGTATACCGAGCTTTTGTTTTTAAATTAACTTATGTCCTAAACAAACTTTGATTTTGGTGATGTATTATGCATTTATGGCACAGGAATTAGTCCCTAACAATACCCTTCCTGATGATTTTACCCGTGCCCTGAAGTACTCTGACTATAGCTCTGTAAGCTTGATTTTTTTACTTGAAATTTCTGTCATACATGCGTAGCTTGATTCTATTTAGACCCAATCTTCATGGTTCCGCAAACAAATACAGGCAACTACAAAGATTAATCTAGCTGTTGATAAACTCCCCCAATTTCAATGCTGCAAGTTGAATCATCCTGATGCTGGTCCTCAGCACGTGGGCACTATTCATATTGGTTCAGAGAGGTATCCTTTTAGATCTGCAGTACTGTTCTGTTGATTCTTGACCTAATCTATAAGACTCTTGATTTTTAAGTTTTAAAGTGGGCATTGAGACCCAAATAGAGTAGAAGGATCATAACCCAATCATGGGCCAAAATTTTCTTCTAGTTTTCTGCTAGCTGATCTCAATTTAGGGAGACACTAGAACTTGCACGGTGATGTAATTGATTGATTTAGCCAGCTTTTCTTTTGCTGCTGTTTGTATAATGTGTTTCAGTTTGTTATTTGTTAGAATTGAAACAGGAAGTAGGGGTGTGTATACTGAACAGGTAACTCATTTCTGCTGATTTTCTTACTAGTGACATCAAGCTGGAAAGAAATAGATGTAATCATGCAAAAAGTTCTTAGCAATAGAGTTGGATATCTTGTAGAATTACTGGTCGTTACAATGGTGGCTGGAAAAAACATCCAGCCCAGTGGACAACTACTGAAAACTGTAAAACATTACTGGATGATCCCGCAAACAAACTATCACCACCTTTTATTATTAGATTTGATTTGACTACCTTAATGGAGAATTGACAATCCATTGCACACTTTTGTTCTGTCTTTCTTTAAAAGTATGGAGGAGATTGATTTGGCTTGTCAAGATGCTGTCAATGGGGTACCATCAAGAAGGCCAGTTATCGAAATGACAATTCCTTCTGTATTGGACAAAACAATTTCTCCTCCTGGTACATGAAACTTTGTTTTTGATGCAACTTAATCTGTTGTAATTTCCTGTATTGGACAACACCATTGGAATGTTACCCTATCTTTGCAGGTAAGCATGTGATCAACTTGTTTGTCCAGTACACACCCTATAAGCCATCAGATGGAAGCTGGGGAGATTCTGCTTATAGAGTAAGTTAAATTGTTGAAATTTTAGCCTCTAATTCCAAGGTTGGGAACTTAAACATTACTGCGACCTTATAATTGGTCCCCCTGTGCCTGCTATCTAGGCTGAGTCTCTTAGTGTTTGACCAGAAGATCTCGTTTTTCTTCTTTTACAATGTCAGCTAGTAGTTATTACAGTCTTTAAGTTTTATACGTGATAATGCTTCTAATTTCTGATGCTACATGTGATTCTCACTTCCATCGAGTAAAAGGTGCAAACTTTCATGGAGTTGAATGTACTACATTTTCATTTTGCTGTCTAATCTTTTGTACTCTGAAAAAAAAAATGATCTGCTTTATAGGAATCATTTGCACAAAAATGTTTTAGCTTGATCGAGGAATATGCCCCTGGGTTCAGCTCATCAATCATTGGCTATGACATGTTGACTCCACCAGATCTTGAAAGGGAAATTGGTCTTACAGGTACCGTTTCGGCACCAATTATCTGCTTTTGGATCTTAGACAGGTCATTTCGTAACAATGAATGAGACAAGGAATACGGCCACGAAGTTACCGCCATTAGATAATTAGAATTAGGTCCTCGTAGTACACAATCTTCAAAAGATGATTTGTTTTTAAGCGATCAGTCTCAAATTTAACTGAACTCCAGATTCTCCAGGTTCTTAACAAGCTACTAAATTTCCTGATACTTGAATGGTTTCTTACAGGAGGGAATATATTCCACGGTGCTATGGGATTGGATTCCCTTTTCCTCATGCGACCAGTGAAAGGATGGTAACTCTAACAAGTAGATTTTTAAAGAGTAACAAATAGGATGCTGTTGCTAAAAATAAAAAATAAAAAATAAAAATCATGCATGGTATTCTAAACAAGTTATTTTTTCTTGACCATACAGGTCGAGCTATAGGACTCCTCTCCAGGGGCTGTATTTGTGTGGAAGCGGAACCCATCCAGGGGGTGGTGTGATGGGTGCACCTGGACGCAATGCTGCACATGTCGTTCTTCAAGATGTTGAAAAACCTTGAACCGATTCTATTGTTAAGGGTGTGTTTTGCATCGTTTTCAAAAAATTTAAACTTTTTTTTCTTGGTTAAAATAATTTTTTATTAATTCATTTAGATATGTAGATGTTAAAAATAATTTTTAAAAATAAAATAATTTTATTTTAATATATTTTTAAATAAAAAACACTTTTAAATTATTATCCTGCTATTTCCAAACATGTCCTAATCGTTGTTTGTCTATACAGTATGAGCTTATGGTTTTTGATGATTGATCTGTTCTCTTATTTCCTTAAAATACACTTAAAATAACTTTATCCTAGGAATTGTTTCAAAGCCTAGACAACAAACTCATAAGCAGCTTAGCAATTAAGAAATGTGGCCCTTCCTGAAACAACATTTTAAAAAGTAGGGGTTCCCTCGCCTGTTCTAAGGCCTATTTCAATGCAAGAATGTTCGGAAATCACAAACGGGAAATATCATAGAACAAACAGCAGCAATACAAGGATTTTCCGATGGCTAGCCTTGAGCATCCAATTTTTACTAGCCTTGAGCATCCAATTGTTACCGAGTTAGTTAGCGACAAATCTAGATTATAGAATCTAAATCTCAGTTTAGCATTGAAAGAATTGCTAGTGCATCAAACTCCGTTTACTGCATGAGCTTGCATCAAAACTGTTTGACTGCCGTAACATTTTGAAGAGTCCATCGGTTATTCCAACATCGTTCTAGATAATGTATTACCGGCCCCGCCAACCAGAAACTGTTTTGGGGACTAATGAGATGGAATTTGAGGCTGCTTCTGACCTGCATCAATTTAGATATAATCCATTAACTCATCGTAGCCATGGACAATAACCGTACACACATAAGGGAGGGAGGGAGGGAAGACTTTGATATTTCTTCAACGGCTCTCATAACTTCTGTAGAACTTGTTTCCAACACTTGACCTCCAGAAATTATCTCATCTATAATAGCATGGAGCTGCAAAAGAAAGACGAAAGCTTAGTTTCAATAGAAAATATTTGCACGATACCACTGGCAAGTCGAACATTAAGAACTTCAGCTTATATGATCAAGTGAGAACTCCTAAAAAAATAGTCAATTGATTCGATGATGGTGATTTCCACAAGCAATTGGCAATAAAATCTCTAAAATGTACGCCCTCCTATCCAGTGGGTCGTTAAATAAATATACAATAATGTCGGTTGAGTACATTTTCTTCATCCTATTTGGAAGTTGAAAACCTAAATCCCAAAGCACTATCAGCGCAACAAAAAAGCTAAGAAGAAATGGGGAATCCACATACCTTGCTGTAATTGAACACAATGTCAAGCTCGCATACATTCCTGAAGCACTTGTCCAACGTTTCTACAAAAACTGAAAGGCGGGAGGATTTACATAAGCGAAAAACACAAAAGGAATGTTAGCAATAAAATAAAGGAAGCACTTATATTTGTGGCAAGAACACGACCTATAAGCTTAATCTTTTGTCCTTCATAATGCAGGTTAAAAGGATACCAGGAGCTATCAACAATCTAAAAAGGGTCCTAAAAGTTGTCAACTGTACCGTTTCAAGTGCTAAATGAACATCCTCTTTGTGATTATATAAGAACAAATCCACTTCAGATGACAATAAATCTTCAGACCATAAACCATTTTGCCGCCAACCAAATGAACCAAAAATGCAGTTAAAGCAGTTGATGGGTTTTGATACATTGAAACATCCAGTTTTCCTCAAGTGGTTTTGCCTCTATCAAACAATTATCAATACCAGAGTTCAATTCTATACAATTCCAATGCCATTCAGCCCGCCTCCTTGCATCTTTCTCGCAGCTAAATCATTGGTTCATTCATTACTCCAAAATTCTCAAAATCCATCAGCCTCTCTACCATCTACCTTCCACTTGATAACAGCTAGCAATAAACCATTTTGCAATAATCCATTTTTTTCATATCATTCAATCATGATTAGTAAAAGTAGTAGTACCTTGTATGAGATCAAGCATCGCAAGCTCGTTCTCAGAACTATCAAACACAAAGACAAAGTACAATGTTGCATAATGTTTGTACACAAGACGACTATCCTGCCCACATAGAACAGAAAAATCATAGAAATCCCCAAATGCAAAGACAACCAACCGCAATCAAATCAAATCAAAATTCAGAAATGAAACAAAATAAGCAAATTTACCGGGCCGAAGATTGAATCAGCCTCCATGAAGTTGCTAACTTTCTCAGATCTACTACACAACACTACGGCACATAAAAATCAAAATCCAGAATCAGAAAATGACACAATCATCAACAGAAGAGCAATAAAAAAAGTGATCAGATCAATCTCAACCTCCAAATACACCGCGTATAAGCTCTTGCTGCTTCTCTACAGTCTGACATCATCAACGAAACAAAATTTTAATAATTTGTTCGTGAATCTTTATGAAAGAAAGTTTGTTAAAGAGAGAAATTGTTACCAAAAACTCGTAGAATTTGGTAAGGCGAGGTTTGCCTTGGGTGTTAATCACCAGCACCGCTTTTATCATGTTAGCTTTCTCAATATCTCGTGCCTCTTAATGATTCCTAGTTCCTGTGTTTCCAGCTTTTGGGTTATCTTCTCTCGCTCCCTGTTAGCTGTATGTATCTTATGTTATGATCTATGTCTCCTTCAGCCCTTCTCGAATGAAAGCTTGTTAGTAGATCCAGAAGAATCTTCTTATTCGTAGCTACAATCATCGATCCGAGGTGGATCTGGTTCAAGTCCAAGGCCTGGGTCCATAGTCAGGGAGACCGACTCAGGTGACCCTCATATTAATTTAAATTTTTTAAAAAGATTTAAAATCATATTGTTCTCATAAAAAAAAAAATATCAGATTTTTTACTAGCCCAACACAAGCTAGATTTTAAATCTTATTGGGTTGATTTGTTGGACCGGATCTTATAAGAATGGATTTATTCAATCTGTCCCTAGAGATTTTACTATTTATACTTGCTGTCAGCATTTAGCAAGGACCAAAGTATAAATAATTTTTTTTTCAAAGCAGGATAGTTTAAAAACTTAATTCCCAAGCAAGGAGTTTTTAAGTTTATTCTTCAAATTAGGGTATATGTAAACTGCACATCAGCAATTTGCAGCCTTTCTTCTTTATAATATTAACAGGATTCTAACTAAATAAAAAATTTTATTCCAAATATATTGATTAAAAAAATAGAAAATAAAAGTAGTAAACTCTCTCTCATTCTGGTTATTGCATTCTAACTTTTAATGAAGTGTAGCAGTAATCTCACTGATCTCTGTTTCCTTAAACAAGATTGAGGTTTAAAACACAAAGTTAGCATGATCTTGATCATGGGACGGTTGTGCAAGAGAGATGTTCCATAAAAAAATTAAAAGAAATCCTTAGTTTTGGTATGATTTTTTTTTTTATGGATTAAACCTACTTATGAAGCTTAGATTATTTCATGCTTGAATTGGATCAAGTATGGATAGTATGGTAGTGGTTATTTTTCAAATAATTTTTTTGTGTTAAAATATATGCTAATAATTTTTTTTATTTTTTAAAAATTATTTTTAATATTAATATATCAAAACGATTTAAAACATATAAATTATATTAAATTTTAATAAAAATAAAAAATAAATATTTTTAAAAACACAAATTTAACCGTGTTTCCAAATAACTCCTAACTAGATCTAACTTAAAGCTAGGTATTTTCAATGCCTAACTTGTCAAGTGAAATTTAAAAAATTCTGATGGAAACTGTTTTTGTGAATATTTATCAATTGCTTTATTGTCTTGACATATAAAACTTCAGTAACTTTATTTTCTAACTTTTCATAAATGAAATTAGGATCGATTCTCACATTATCATATTGTATTTTAATTAATTATTGATTGATTGTCATAATATAACCTCATAGTATCACGAGATAAATAGCCCAACTCCTTCATCAAACATTTCAGCCATGGCAATTCATACACAGCCTTAACCATTGCTTCGTAATCAACTTCTAAAGTAGATAAGATTATTATATTTTTATTGTTTTATTTTTTTAATAAATAAATTCAATAAACACAATTGAATAAATATTTCTTGTTATAAAATCAAATATATTAATTTAGATCTATCTTTAATTTTTTTTAATAACTTTTTATTCATTTATTCATATAAATAATTATTGATTTATTTAATTGAATATTTACATAAGATTTTGAATTTACACTGCAAATATTTTTATATAAACAACACATAAAAAAAGCTTATATATCCCTTAAAAATACAATCAACGACGGAACACGCTCAGATTAAATAGCTAGTAATAAAAACATAAGAAGGTGGTAGCAATAACTTGGGGGGGTGGGGGGGGGGGGGGTCCCCCGTT